ACTGAGCGGGGCGAGGGGCCGGCCGCCTCCTCCTCCCGTCCTGGACCAGCCTCAGACGGCCCCGCGCGGGGCCGACGGCCCAGGTGGGTGGCCGGACGTGAGCCCCAGGGAGCCCCCCGCACCCGGGGCAGAACAGGTGGAACCGTGGGGCGATTTGTCCCGGAACCCACAAGCCCTGACCGCGGCCGGCAGCCCCGCCGTGGAACGCGCCCAAGGATGGCAGGCACCCGGAGCCGCGGTCGCACCGGGTGGGCCCCACCCAGCAAAAAGGAGGGAGCGGCACACGGTCCGCACGCGCGGTCGGGGGAAGGCGCAGCGGGGCGCCGGACCAGATCTTCGGGTCTTGGAACAGGCGAAGTCGACGGGAGTGAGGCGGGAACGAATGAGAAGGGGGCGTCTGGGGGCAGGAGCGTGCACGTGAGGGGGCAGCGTTCCCTTCCAAAAGCTGCCGCAGCGGCCGGCCCAAACTCGCGTTCCTCAGGGCGACACAGACTGGCGGTCCCGCGGATCCGGAGGGGAGGGCCGCAGCCTGGGTCCGGGGGCCGGAGAGAAGGCCAGGGCGGGTCCGCTCCCGCATCTCCGTGGTCGTCCGCGTGCAAGGACCCTCGTGATGACCTCGGGCCCCCTGGACGATGCAGGACGCTCGCCCATCCCCAGAACCCCCTCACGCCTGCAGTCCCGAGGACTCCGCGGTGGGTACCTCGGGGCTGCCCGGCGCGGGCGGCCCCACGGACGTATCCACAGGGGCCCGTGGGCCTGCGCACGGGGCCGCAGCGCACCCCTTCCGTGTGTGTTTATTATGCCTCCAGAAGAAAAAGGAAAAATGGCCCAAACGGCAGGCAGCGGCGGGCAGCGTGCTGGGGAGGGGTGGTCTCGGGCCCCCGCACCGTGGGCCCGTCTGGCCTGCGCGCACCCAGCTTCCCGGCCCAGAGGCTGACGGGTCTCCTGGCGAGGGGCGGGACCGTGTCTGTGCGGGTCAGGACGATGGCCTTGACTGTGGTCCACTCTGACCCTCTGACCCTTGCCCTCTCTCCCCCCAGGGTACCGAGAAGGCTCCCTCTGGAAGCGAGGCCGGGACAACGGGCAGTTTCTAAGCCGGAAGTTTGTGCTGACTGAGCGAGAGGGGTCCCTGAAGTATTTCAACAGAAATGATGTGAGCTGGGCCCAGGGTCTGTCGTGGCTGCACGTGGTCCCCAGCTGCCCGCACGCAGTTCCCGGAAGCCACGCTGCCCGTCCCGTGGGGATGGGGATGCCCGCCCCCCTCCCCCCGCCCCCGTCCACCTCAGTCTTCCCCGGGGCCAGGCCTGGGTTGGCAATGCCAGGAACAGCACCAGCGAGCCCTTCCCTGCTGGGCGCGCCCGGGCAGCGAGCAGGGGAGGGGCAGGTCGAGCCCCGCCCCCACCCGGACCAGTTCCAGATCAGAACGTGGCCCCGTGACACAAAGAGCCGAGGGTACGGTTGCCGGCCCCCCAGGCAGAGAGGAAAGCCAGGCTGGCGGGACGGGAGCGGTGTGGGGGACCGAGCCCGGCCTCGGGCAGGGGGCACACGGGACAGAGGCGCTCAGTGCCAAAGGGGCAGAGGAGGGTCCACCTAAGTGCCGAGCGCCGGTTGGGAAACCAGGTCCCGAGAGGGTAAGCACCTTGCCCAAAGCCACAAGGCACAGCCAGCGCCCACAGGACCGCACTGCCCGCTCCCCCGCCCACCCGGAGCTGAGGCACGGCCTTGCTTCCAGGCCAAGGAGCCCAAGGCCGTCATGAAGATCGAACATCTGAACGCCACCTTCCAGCCGGCCAAGATCGGCCACCCCCACGGCCTGCAGATCACCTACCTGAAGGACAACAGCACCCGCAACATCTTCGTCTACCACGAGGACGGGAAGGTGGGTGCCGGGCTGCCCTCGTCTCGGGAGAGCCCCGCCCCCACGGCGAGCGCGGAGCCAGCTGGGCCCTCGTGGGGGACGGGGCCCGGAGGGGCCCACATGGAAGAGAGGGCCACGGTCTGGGGGCGTGTGCGCAGCGTCCTGCTCCGCGGCCGTCCCCGCTGCCTCCCACCCCGCACCTCTGCAGCCTGAGGGTGGAGGGAGCTCCCTGCAAACACCTCGGGGTCTGTCCTTTTGGCCACTGGGGGATTCTCGTCATTGTTCTTTGGATCTTGTCCCACGTTTGGCTCCGGACCACGTGCCCGTGGTTTCAAGGGCAAAACGTGTCTGTGAGGCTTCAGACACAAGCACCTGGCAACAACCTTTTCTCCTTTTATTGCGCTAAAGTGCACATTCTCACAATGTTTAAGCATTTGCTTCCGGGGTATTAGGTACGTTCGTTGTTGTGAAGCCGGCCCCCCCAATCTGTCTCCAGAACGTCCCATCTCCCCACGGTGACCCTGACCCGGCCCCCCTGCCCCGCCGTCTGCTCTGTGAGTCTGACCACTGCAGGACCTCGTGTGAGTGGATCCCAGTGTCGGGTTCTCCTGCGTCTGGCTCGGGTCACTCAGCACCACAACCTCAGGGCTGTCCACATGGTAGCGGGCGTCCTTCCTTCCTTCCTTTCCGAGGCCGAGGGGTCGTGTGGATGGACCACCTGTGGTTTATCCCCTCCTCCTCCGACAGACCCTTGGGTGGCACCTGCCGGTGGCCGTGAACGCTATTGCTGTGAACGTCGAGGTACCGACACCTGAGACCCCGTGTCCAGTGTTTGTGATTATACAGCCGGGAGGGGAACTGTGGGATCGCGGGGTCACCGTTTCGTTTTTTGAGGAACCACCACACTGGTTTCCATGGCAGCGGCACCACTTGGCATGGCCATGAGCAGGGCACGCGGCTCATTTCTCTGCGTCCTCGCCAGCACCGGCTTCTGGTTTCTGATTCTGGCCGTTGTGACGAGCGAGGGGCCGGATCACAGCGGTTTTGACCCGCGTCTCCCTGATGATGCGTGACGCTGCTCGGGGGGAGGGGCACCTGCACGTCGTGTCTGGAGAAATGTGTACTCGGTTCCCATTTTCCCCGTTTGGGACTGAGGTGGGTGGTCTGTTGCCGAGATGTAGATTTTCTGTACGTTCTGGATGTGACGCCCTTATCAGATAGGTGATCTGAAAACATTCTCCCACCTGTGGGTCCCTGTTACTCTGTGGATAGTGTCATTTGAAGGACGCAAGTTCACAATTTGCAAAAAGTCCAACTTGTCTCTTGCTCCCTGTGCCTTTGGGGTCACGTCAGCACGATCACGGCCGTGTCCGATGCCACGAAGCTTCTGCCCTGTGTTTTCTTCTAAGGTTTGTAGTGACCAGTCTTACCTTGTCCTCGATCCACTTGGAGTTCGTTTTTGTGTGTGGTGTGAGGTAAGGGTCCAACCTCATTCTTCTTCATGAGGACGTCCACTTTTCCCAACACTTGGTTGAAAAGACTGTCCTTTCCCCCGTCGGATGGTGGTGGCGCCCTTTCTCAAAAAAGAACGTTAACTGCTCCCTGGGCTCTCGGTTCCGTCCCATTGGTCTGTGTGCCAGGTAATTTGGATTGCTGTGGCTTTGCAATAAATGCTGAAATTAGAAGTGTGACTCTTCCATGTTTGTTTTTTAGAACTGTTATGACTCAGGTTCCCAGAGATTGTGTACGAATTCTGGCAGATGCATTTTATCCACCAACTGAGGTGGTGATGTCGTTTCCTCTTCCTTTATTCTGTTACTACAATGTATTACATTCATTGATTTGTTGAAAATTCCTTGCGTTTCAGGAATAAATCCCACTCGGTCGTGACGTAGAACCCTTAAATATGCTGAATCGTTTGCTAGTATGTGGTGGAGGGTTTTTGCGTCAGTGTTCGCATGGGATGTTGCTCTGTGGTCATCTTCTATTTTTGTCTGGCTTTGGTAATCAGGGTTGCACTGGCTGCCTAGGAGTTAGGAAGTGTTCCCTCCTCTGCAATTTTTTTGGAGACGTTTGAGAAGGACTGGTGTGGGTGATCCTTGAAGTGTTTGGTGGAACATCAGTGAGGCCATCAGGACCAGGGTTTTTCTTTGTTGGAAACTTTTAAAAATGTTTATTTACTTTGATAGAGAGACAGAGTGAGTGAACAGGGGAGGGGCAGAGAGAGAGGGGGAGAGAGAAAGAATCCCAAGCAGGCTCCATACTCCGCTCAGAGCCCGATGCGGTGCTTGATCTAACAAACCGTGAGATCATGACCTGAGCCAAAATCAGGTCAGACGCTTAACATACTGAGCTGCCCAGGCGCCCCTCTTTGCTGGCAAGTGTTGATTCCCGAGGGGGGCTCCTGACTCGTTTACCGGCCCGTGCACACCGTG